ACAGGCACTGCAGACTCCAGTGCTAAAGGCAGATTAGAAAAATATCGCTTCAATCAGTCAGTGAAGCAGTGCCAACAGGTCAGAAAGAAGGCATGCTCTGTACCATGTGAGGGTGCAGCAACGATCTGTACAGCTCGGTTGAATGGTGTGCGTTTGAAGTGGCGATTCCTTGACCAGCGCTTCTGCTTTGATGGCGTAGTATCAGCAACTAGTCGTAAGTCGCAGAGGAGTCTCATAAACATTGTTCTACGTTGCCTTTTAAAAAACATAACTGATTTCCAGAATATATTACAAACGTCAATTTTGACATATCGTACTGTTGTTCTTCTTTGGGATTTATCAAAAGTTTTATTTTATCTTTCACTCAAGTATCGCATCAAAAAAACTAGTGTTTGAGCTGTAAAAATTTAGCCGGTGAAAATGTGACCATGATGTGTGGAAAAAGACCTACTAACCACAATTCAAGTTCTGTTGGACTTTTGACAATAACAATGAAGTGATGAGACAGTTGTTCCTACCCAACGATCAGACAAAGCCGAGGTGGTTTTTGACAGATAAATGTTTTGATAATTTCAAAGATGAAAAAAAAGAATCACGTGAACTAAAAGGAATGAAGCAGCAAGTTAAACCACCGTAGTCCAGGAAATGGCAAGTAAAACACGGGACTTGTAAGCATTTATGAAAATTTTCTCTACGCCATTGCAAGAAATTTCTGGTCTCTTGCTGTCACAGACTCCTGTAATTGTTTGTTGTAAATTTTAGAAATGCTCTTGGGCTTCATTATGAAAGATTTAACACAAGTTACTTTAAATTGGCAATTATGGTGTAAAATTTTGGAGACGCATACGACCATTGAAAAGCTTGACAAGTTGCGCAACACCAAGACAAGCCATTTTAACTGTCAGAGAGACCACTAATAGTAAAGATCGTGACTGTTAAGTTTCCAAGCCAATAAACATGGCATGAATGCAATAGCATACTGATAAGTTGACCCCGATACTAGAGGAAGAAAGCGACTGGGATGAATCGCCTCTTGATCCCCTTGATTACACAATGCATTGAGAATAAATCGGTAAAAGTCAAGAAGCAAATCCATTCACTGAAAACTTGCCTAATACATTTGCTCCAGATGGACTTCAAAACCCGAATTATCCACTTTCCACAAAAATTCTCCAGAAATCTGGGCTCGGCCTCGTTTATAAAGTAGGTAAACTCAAGACGGTGAGGAAGTTGTATTTAAATTAACACATCGAGGGAACGGAAGACTTGCAATACCGCATCCCAGGTCGGAATGGGATGAGGAACGAATTCGTCAAACGCTACATTTGATTTACTACATCAATTTCGCTATTTTCTTCGAACCAATTCCCAAATGCGATGCTATTTGGAACTTCCAGAGAAGTGGTTTCTGTGATAACAATCAATTTGAAGCGAAAATTCCGGTCGAAAAGCCATACAAATTAATGAATGATATTAGTAACGCGTCAATTGGTGGTTATTTGTACACAGCCTTATGTTATAGTTTTCTCGATGATGAGTAACTGTAGGTGCCTACGCCATCTTCTGAACCAATGTGAGAGCTATCAGTAATCGCCGGTAAACCAAGGAAACAAATAACATTTGAGATTAACGGTTAGAATGCAAATATGAACATGGAACCGAGGTCTATTCGTTAAAAGGAATGCTTTTTAATATGCATACAAAAGGTAAAGAACTCACCTGTCAATCAAAACAGGCTAAAAATGGCCACTGCCGAGATTCAGGAGGAGAAAAAAGCCATTTTGAACTAGTTGCGCGTATCACCTTCAGGTCGATAAATCAAAATAAGTGCTGATTTTGGGGGACAAAAAAATGACAAAGTACCATACTCAAGTAGAGGATGCCCTCATGGTGGATCTTATTCATAGCGCTACAAAAATTAAACAGTGAAAGCTACGTCCATTTCGTGGAAAAACGGCACTACACGAATTCGCAGGTTACCATGTCAATCTCCACATTGGCTGCAGACGACTACGATCATCCTACCAGTGCATATGGTCTTCGTCCAATCCTCCATTACTGGTATGATGTTGGAACTCAACATTTTTAAGGTGGCACAATCATTATGCTCGAGAACTAACAACTAATTTGGCTAAAAATAAAACAACTCACGACAAGCAGACAATCTCTGTTGGACGTGGATAACAATCTGGGAGAAAATAGATAAGGGGAGCGCCCTTCATTAGGACGGTTCAAATGGTCACCTCTCAGTACAGCTTTATCATTACCGCAATAGGCAGCATTCATCGGTAACAGTTGGAACTCGTCATGCATGAAGTTTTATTCGCCAGGAAAGATGTTTTACATACACGAATTGTATGAGTTTCCTTGTAGGTGTAAGCAGGGAGGGTGCATTGAGTTAGTTTCACTAGGTTTTGATAAACGCTATACCAATATAGAGACGAAATAAACAGACAAAAGGTTCATTTGTGAGAACACTTGTGTGACGAAAGTTTATTTTTAGGAAGGGGTGAGAGTAAACAGAACTGACACAGGAAAATACTGAGGCTAAAATCCAGTAAGGATTCAAGACTCCATCGGAAAAAGACTTCATTTTAAGCCGGTAGCCAATGATATCTTCTGAAATAAATTTGGTTAATTCCTAGAAGATTCTGCTCAAAATTCCCAAAAATAGAAACATTGGAGGAAGCTTAAACGATTTCGCCTCAATAAATTCTGTTCACAGTAACAGCTGATGGGAACAAATGACACAAAATGCAACAAAACTGAAAAAACCTGTGTTCGGGAGAAACCGGCTTTATGATCTCGGACAGCTTACGCTTTTTACTCAAAAAAACAATGCCGAATTAAAAGAGGTAGCTATGGTCTCAGCAGACCAGGTGGTAAAGGGGAGAGTAGTGAGCAAAAGTGTGGAGGGACTCACCATCAGATCTGAAGTTGAAGAGTGGAGGGAGAGGAGTCTTGTCAGGGAGAGCGACGCCCTCCTGCCGGAGTTCGTCAAAAAAAGGGTGCAGACAAGCCTCGAGGGGCCGCAGTCGCTTCGATGCGGTATAGTCCAGCAGCTTGGCTACTAACTGGATAGCCTCCGGCGAGGTGTGCGCTCTAAACACCTACAGAGCAAACACACGCAAAAAGTAAAAGCCAAATCACCCCATCCCCTATCTTCCCACCTAAACATAATGAAGTACACAAATGCAGTTCTTAAACTAGACATCCAATTACCTCATCGGTTGCAAATACTTAACCCTTTGTGACAATTCTAGCAACCAGCCTCGGTCACGATGATGATGCTTTCTAACGTCAGTATCTTCAGAGAACTATTTAAATCCCACCGCATGTGCTACGATTTATACACTGGCTGCTTATGCAGCTGGACTTCCAGTCCTCCTTCACTGTCACAGCAGAAGGTGATTGCAGGTTCTCTCAGCTCTACGGTTGGTAAGGGATCTACTTGAAAACAATAGATCAAATAGTCTAAACGAAATGATTTACTCCTGGGTCACATTCAGCATTCCAGCCCTTACATTAACTGCGAGAGTGGATGCAACCACCCACGTGAGTGTCAAGATCAGAATTAAGGTGTTAACTATTATGTTATGATCCCTGTGTTGTGACCTCCTGATCTCCTTATTAAAAAAATGTTAAGATTGCACGTCGGTAAAGTATCTGCTTGGATACTGACTCAAAACCTGAAGTGAGTGGCCTGCATTACTCCTGAGGGATGTCAATGCCAGTCTGTTCATCCCTTCCACTACATAAAAGTGCGCGACCACTCCAGTGACGACTACCATCATCACTCCGTTCCCTTCAAGAGCCATAATGGATACTACTCCTAACCATGAAATTAATAATATTCATCTCAAATCACGGCCTTCACACCGACTGCACACGTATCGTCGCTTTCTATGACACTGACATTGGCCCTACAATCTCCGATAAATGACCTAGTTAGAAACAAAAAAGAATAGCCAAAAACAAATTGTTAGATTTTGACCAAATTTGCATATGGGAAGGAGTAGAAGCAGCACGTGTCTCCTTATTCATCCTTCCTCACAATAATATGAAGTCCACAGCCTCGGTTCTCGCAGAGGAGGATTATCAAACATACTTCTGCTACATCCAGCAAACCATTCCTTAGATTGACTGCAATGATGGCTTGCCCTCGGTTCATATCGTCACTATTTCTTGAATATTAAAATTAAACGATAATAAGACAATACCTATAGAAGAGAGGATTAACTAGGTATACCAGAAAACGGTTATGGACGCCGACGTAGCACGTGAGCATCAGAATAAGAAAAGGTACCAAGTTTAGGCTTAAATCTGCTCAGTTTTGGAATACAAAACTTTGTCCTGCGTGTCTTAGAAGTCCTAAAGGTTTGGCATAGTTCAATAAAGAGCCCGCATTTGAAATTAGAGCCTTGATAGCTACGCAGTGTTTCGTCCACTCCATGTTGACGAATCCACAGATTGAAGAAAACCGAAACGACCGATTTGGCGTCATGCGTGAGCATGGCTTCTGTCCCGGTTGCCTCCCTGAAGTAGTCTACTGTAACCAGAATATATTGGTTCCCTCTCGTAATGGATGGTAAAGTTTATTCCTACTCCCGAAGTCCGAAAAAGTGGCCACGATGACTGCATTTATGCCAGTGAAAAAGGTTAGAAGTCAACGGTATTGCTGTCCAATAAAAACGATCATTGAACGAGACCACTAAGAGGGAAGAAATACTTTTGAAATCAATAATAGTTCTAGTATAGTACTGAACAAAGCCAAGGTACCGTGAATAGTGTCAGTCGTGGTTAAAGAAAGGCTTAACAACCCATTTCTATTCCATCTGTAGCTACTCCTCAGAATGCTTCTTTGGTCTTATCCACTCCCTTCACCTGACAAATTATATTACTATGGAACTGGAAAGGGGAAATAAACCGGAAACGTCGGAAAAAAAACTTAAATACATTCGATAGTAGCGAAGTACACAATTCTTCCGATTGTGAACCGCGGAAGAGAAACACATCAAAGCATGCGATACACATCATCATATACATTCATCATAGTCACAAAAAATGCTCCAAGTCAACGGTTTGGCTATCGTATCTCCTGATCTTGAAGCAACGAATATCCAACATACACAGATGTCTCCACCCCGTCTAAATACATAAAAAGGGTCGTGAAAAAGGAGTTACCACTCCTATTGTCCGGCAAATAGGGGGTTATTCGATTGTTTGACTGCAAACAAAATCAGAGTGCATTCTGAGCGAAAGATGCCAGGACCACCTCGATCCTTATCCCTTATTAGCAAATAGTGAATCCCGCTTAGCTCTAACTATGCCGCAAGTTTTAAAAGGACAACAAAGTGTACAGTTCATATAGTCTTTTGTTTTGCCAAATTAGTATTCACTTCGGAGGCGATGCGGTCATAGGTATGCAGGCTGCTATTCAAATGAGTTTGTGAAAATCGGAAAAAAAGTAACGATATACGATGAGAGGGTGGGAATTCGTACAGCAAGTGAGGGCTGGGGACAATAAGACGCAATTTGCAAGTACGAAGGAAACATTTACCCAGCAAACCGAGTGACTGAGATGACTGCGAGTTTCGAGGCCAGAAAGATGGAAACAATCGAAGTCAAAAAAAGAGTGGGGTTCTAAAGTGAAAAAGCAGTACAACCCAACAATCTGCACCTGAAGAAGGTAAGTTCAATGCCTGCCTTAGAGGCGGAGGAAAAATTGCGTGTTGCGCGGAGGAGATGCATGCTATATTTGCGTACCACCACAATGGCAGTAAAAAGACTACAAGGGCTGAATAACCCAAACCCGACCTATCGGGCGGTTGAGGAGAGCAGAAAAGTGTACACTGAAAATTCACTCCATCAAGACTTGGAGAATGGAAGGTTCAAAGATTGTTGTGACATGGAATTAAAAAAGAACTAAAGGTGAGGGTACACACGAAGAGGTAGTGAATGGAATTTTATGTAGCAAAAAAAAATAAAGTTAACTACAGTAAAATAAGGTGTCAGTGGGTTAAACATTGCACGGTAAACAAATTCTTAATACTTCTTGAACAAAAGCTCCGATGAATAGCAAAAATAAAGCTTGAGAATAATTTTAGAGGATTATTCTAGTGAATTGGTAAGTAAATATCCGATTTTCAAACAAACAAGTCATTACTCTGGTAACTTTTCACCAATTTGTGGAAAGAAAAAATTTTCATTCACTTTTGATTTGCATAATGTTTCTCCTAGGTGGGACACAGGTGTGGGTGGTGCCCAGAGCAGTGCTACACATGGAAAGTGGGTAAGCACGATTTCGACCACGTAGGCAAAGGATTTCTCAGTCGAACATATTTCACATTCAGCTGCGATATTTAGTATTGCTCGAAGAAAAAGTGGAAGAACTCAATCAAGACCAAGCTTGTGAGGGTAAATTGTAAATCCAGGAGAGCTAGTCTTCAAAACATATTTGCATGGACTAAAACATTCTTGTAGGAAAGGGCACAAGTAGGACAACAAAAACATCAACAATTTGTTTTGATGGTACTAGCAATTGTAAATCCAGGGGAGCTGGTCCTCAAAACATTTGCGTGGATTGAAACGGCATTCTTGTAGGAAGGGGCACAAGTAGGACAACAAAAAATATCAACAATTTGTTTTGATGGTACTAGCAATTGCTGAAAGCAAACAGCTTACTTGACAGGAAAGCAAAGGCGCAATAGTGTCTAATTTAAGTGGAGGTGGTAGAAATTTTTGCATTTGCGTTTCTCGAAAATAACGTTCATGAGACTTCTCTACGACCTACGACTGGCTGCTGATGCTACACCGTCAAAACGGAAGGGCCGGTCAAAGAAGCCCAATTTCGAACGCATACCATTCAACCGAGCTGTACAGATTGTTGCCGCATCCACACATGGTACTAAGCATACTTTCTTTCTAGCCTGTTCGCACTGCTTCACTGATTTGCCGAAGCGATTATTTCATAGACTGCCCTTAGCACGAACGGGTAGATGAGTCGCAGTACCTTTTACGTGCCCAAAACAGTGAGCATTGTTAAGGCATTCCTCGAAAAAGTGCTCGATGGTAAAAGCACAACAGAATGCACCCCTCTCATTGTTGTCAGCGCCTTATCCCTTCTAGACACTCAGGTCTAAGGTGCCTAATCAACTAACCGGTGACTCCGTCTTTTGCTTAGACATGCAATTTGAGGGCTACAATTTTCTGGACTGAAGTTAGCAGCAATTTGGTGTTCACTTCAGTTGAGTGTGACCTATGCAAATGAGTCACCTCGATCGTGTGACCTATGCAAATGAGTCACCTCGATCGTGTGACCTGACCAAACTCGAATTGATGCTCAATCTCACATTTACACACGTTATTTCACCCTCATTGCGCAAACCTACACACGCGCGCAGGTTCAGGCGGTACTCCACCTGTCCAATGACGGGAGCATCATATTCTATCACCAGG